GACTTACTACTTGGTCAGGAGTTACTCAATTGGTCAAGGATTATTCGATCGATCATGGGTTACTCGAACAGTCATGGGTACTCAATCAGTGTTTTGGTATATCTCAGTCGGCCACACAATATGGCCAACCACACGGAATATATGCTGATTTTATTATTATAATTAATATAAAATTTTAGATCTGAAATAAATTGCAATTCTTATTTTTTTCATTGGCTAAAATATAATATTTTTCTACGTAATGCTCTAAAATATCTTGAAAAACTATCCTTTATTTAATTTTTGTAAAATTTTATCATAATGGTTCCTTAATCACCCAAATAAATTATTTAATTTTATTCGTGATAAATTTTTAAATATAATAATATTATCTGTCGCTCTGATAATTTTTTAATTTATTACCGTAATCCTACGTAGCGCTTTAAAAAAAACTTATCTTACGTGGCATAATCGTATGGTAGAGTTTTAGGATAAACTTTTTACTTGAATGTGAAATATGGTCATCTAATCGCTTTTGATAATATGTAGTATATTTAGACTTACAATATCATATAATACTGTAATTTTTGTAGTTTTGTTTGTAAGCAGATATCTATGTTGATGCCCGGATTGTTGATAAAAATTTAGGATAAACTTTTTGGCTTAAATGTTTAATAATACAATCATGTAATCTCTTTTGATAATATAGGATATTCAGACATACGTATCATATCGCTTATTTATAGAATTATGTACTTTTTGTAGTTTTGTTTGTAAATATATCTATGTTATTATGGACTTGAAATTATTGTTATTGAATTTAAATTATTTTTACTGAACTGAAAGTATTTTTAGCAAACTAAAATTATTTTTACTGACTAAAACTTATTTTTTTACTGATCCTCTAATATTTTTTAAATAAATTAAATAACAATGTATTTGTATGCGGCTAACCACACCATCTGGCTGGACAAAGTAACCTCTATAAAACTGGTCGAGTAACCCATGTAATACTAAGCTAACTGAGTAACCTCTAACACTGACTATGTAACCCTATCTATAACATGATTGGGTAACAAGTATAACACTGACCAAGTAACCCCTATAACACTAAAGAAGTAACTCTGATATTGTAACAGTTGGTGACTACGATTTGGCTAGCTGCGTATAATAGTTTGTGATTAAATATATTATAAATGGATCTTATTTTAAAGAACTTTTTAAACCGAATTTGATGATGGAAATAGAATTGAGTTATAGGATATTTATTAAAAGTTATGATTAATTTTGTATATATGAAATATTAAATTTTATCGATATTGAAACTATATGTAACAATTTTATCTTAAAATTCTATCCGAAAATCGCTTACTTAGCATCATATGTGTCACAATCATACCTATTTATCTTCTACGTGGCACGACACTTGGCAAAAAATTGAAATGCCAGGTGTCGTTGTCTCGTGGCATGGCTGCGAAACCGGCTTTATTTATTAGTGATATGATATGATATATTAGATTTTCTTTTAACTTTTAAGTAGGCGATTTTGTGATAGAGTAAAAGACTTTTTTTAAAGCAGTTTTAAGGTCGTGAGTTGGGAAGTCAACGCCGGAGTTCGATTTGACCACCAATCATGAGAATTGACTATACATTCATCTACAGAATAATTCCACAAATAAAGTTTTTGCCCCCTCTTATAACACTACTCCCTCTGTCCTACAATAATTGACACAGTCAAATTATGCACATTGTTGATGCATTAGTTTGACTTTTACCTTATTTTTGTATAATTAAATATTAATAAAAAGTATATATATTAAAAAGTTATAATACAAAACTTCATACCAATACCTATTTAGCAATATATTTCATAATAAAATGTGTATTAATTAGGTTTAAAGAAACTATAGTCAAAATTAATATATGAATAATGAAAAAAAAATCCAAACGTGTCAACTATTCTAGCTTGGAAGGAGTATTTCACATCTTCATGTCATTTTCATTTCCAATTTTTGAGTCCCAACACAATATAAATTTAGTCTAATGAGTTCAATGATTTTTAAATAGCTAGCTACCTACTTATAGTAGTCGGTAAATATTTATTACACTATATTTATTTGTGCAAATGATAAACGTGTTTCGCGATAAAGATTGTATATGGTACTCCTATTATATAGGACAGGAGTTTTTTTTTTTTTTTTTTTTTTTTTTTTTTTTTTTTTTTTTTTTTTTTTTTTTTTTTTTGAAGGGAAGGACAGTAGTGATGTTCATACGAAGATATGATGCATGTTCTTTTGGAAACACCATATGCATAATGCACGGGTGCATGGTGCTATAAAAAACCTCAATATGAGTTGTGGTCAAGTGACAAATTGCCCCCAAGACTTAATAAACGATATACGAAGTAATTATTTAAGATGTTATTGTGATGAATGGGATCTCACTTTTAATTAATGTTATCCCATTTGGCATTGTTGTGATTTTCTGTTTTTTGTTTTTCAAAATCATATGATATATGTCATATAATGAATCATAAATTAGTCAAAGTTATTAAATTCATGATGATTTTGAAGACTGATAACAGCAAACTGGAAATCATGATAATTTTGAGGACTGATAACAGCAAAGTGGAAACACCTTTTTTTTGTTTCCTGTTTTTGGTTTTTTGTTTTTTTTTTAAAAAAAAACGATGCCAAACAAGTCCAATTAATTATAAAAATATAGTTTGGGATTAAGACAATAATAATTGCCAGCGATATGTGCCGGAGTAATGAAGAAACACTTGCCTATTCTTCAAAAAAGAAAAAAGGAAACATTTGCCTAAAATTTTGGGGTAAGTCTTCTAAGGAAGTCGATCTGTCCAAATACTCCATAGTTGGACTGACTTAGGATATTCCTGATTTCCTGGCAGCCCGGGCGCTCAATTTCCACTCCAAATACATGTCATCTCAAATAATCAAATCTGGAAAATACAAAACAGTTGAAACAAAAAAAATTAGTAAAATTAACCAAATAAAAATAAACTTACATAATTACATTATGAATAATGAATGAAAAAGTATAAAATTAAAAATAAAATAAGAAATAATCTTGTAAGTCTAGAATGACAGTAGGCAATAGCATTTTGATGAAATCATGAAAGTAGCAAACTAGCAATTACCTTAACTCTCCTTGAAGCATCAGCCGAAGCATTCAAGCCAATTAAAGTAGCCAACCAATCAATTAGATTTTTTTTCCGCAATTTTATAGTTCTTCAATGAAAGTAGTTATACAGGGATTAAGAAAAAATAAATAGAAAGAAGAGATTTTGATGAATAAAGTAGGATGTGCAAAGAGGATTATATATAATTAGATAAATTTCCATTGAAAATTAAAGAGTAAAATGACCATTTATCAAAGTTTTCATCTTCAACTCCTTTTTACACCCGGGCGATGCCCCGGGTTACTGCATTAATTCTATATTGAAATCTTTATTTACATTTAATTTTGGTAGAATAACATGAATGTGGTGATAGTTTAGTGGCTAACACTCTAGTTTTTAAAGTAAAGGTTGTGAGTTCAAATCTTGTACAATTCACATTTTTAATCACGTGAAACGAAGACTCGATTAATTGAGGAGGGCCATGTGACATGTAAACTTGTTTTAAAACGCCATTTAAATGACGTCTGGCATTCTATAGTACTGTATAATAATATTTTTTTTCTTTTCATTTTTTTTTAATTTATTTTGGGGCCTAGTAATAATAATGAAGCTGGGCTTTTTAACCAGGGTAGTCGCCCCAGCTGCCCTGCCCTGCCCTTGCTACGGGCTTGTTTCCTGGCCAAGTTTGGGATTAATAAAAGACCCTTCCTAATTTAATCATATCAAAATAGAATAATAGTATGAACATTCAGCTCAAATTTGACCATACATATTATCTTATCATTCTAAAACGGATGCAGTGCAAAAAAATAAATAAATAAATAAATAAATAAAAACTAAACTCAATCAGCATGCATGTTACTCCCACTCTAACTTTCGTTGTCAAATATAACATTGTAATCCGGTAACTTGTCATATCATTAATTCAAATTACATGACTAACAAGACTATTAATTCTGAATGGAGGAAGTTATTATTCCGAGAAGTTAAACACCAGTCGAAAGAATACGAACACACCCCATCAAAGATGGTCATGAGGGTGTAGGGACGAGAACATGTGCTACTTCATTACAGAATGCAACAGCAACCATATATCATACTCCGTAATATCAATGAATTATATAGGCAGTAGAAAGCCACAAGTCATACATCTACAAATAGTCCAAAGTATACTCTATATCAAAAGCATCACATGCAGAGTTTTAATGGTCCCCCAAATCAAACATTTTCAGGCCCCTCAGCAGTAACCTTAGACAGATGGATGAGATTAGCATAAAAAAGGGAGACTATGATTGAACATCAAAGATAATGAAAGCTGGTTAAATATACACATTTATTAGGATCACAGGAATCCTGCTTTTGGTGCTACCTATTCTCCTTTACTGCACCTGATTCATCAGCAACTTCATGATTCAGTTTTTGGACAAAAGCAACAAATCTATTTCTAATTATCATGCCCGGCCCTCTAATCGATCGAAAAATATAGAAGTAAATCATTGAACAATGAGTACGCCAATAAACTTGGAAAAATAATGGTACAGAAGTTGGGGGTGATGAGAATTGAATCCCTGTGGTAGGGAGATGGATGTTCTGCCATTGTGCTCTCACTTGACTCTCGACATTGATGGATGATAAATTCATCTCGAGCTTTTTGGCATAAGTTGGGGAATTTTGGTATTTCTCTCATTAAATGGGACAAGAACCCCGAGATTGAATGATTTTATCCATCTCTAGTATAAGCTTTATTAACTACCATGACTTTCAGGACTGTTTAAGTAATTAGTGGCATACTTACATAAACAACAATAGCTAAAACATGTACAGTTGTATATTATGCTGAATAAACACCACTAAGCATAGACACAATCACACAAGTGGATGAAAGAACAATGGAAGCTGACAATAAAGAAAGGTGATAACATACAAAATTTTGTATTATACAGGAAATTCCAACAATGGAGGAGACAGAGAAAGATAAAAGCTGCAGGAATTGGAAAACCCCATGAACTTGAAAAGCTCCAAGAACACAGCAACAAATACAACAAAGAAGTTTAATTTCGAACCAAACCATGAAAATTAACATGTTAAGAATCAATTTAATCAAGATCTTGTTCATTCAAGATCATAGGGAACTCATCGTACTGCTCTAAGCAACCGTGATTCTCAGCCAAGTTCTTCAGGGAATCGTACACCCGGAACATAGAAGGTCTATCCTTGGGCCTCGAAGCCACACATGAACAAGCAACTCTAAGCAACTGCTTAATCTCATCGTCGTTGCCCTTCCCACACAAGGACTTATCAATTGCATCCTTAATCCTACCAGAGCTAGACAGATAAGTCACCCAATGAACCAAGCTCCCTTTAAAGCCTTCCCCTGCATTATTAACTTCAAGGGGCTTTTGACCAGTAACCAGTTCCAATAGGACTACTCCAAACCCATAAACATCACCCTTCAACGACGCAACCAATGTGCTCGCATACTCAGGTGGGACGTAACCAAACTCTCCAAAGTCCCCATTGGCAACCGAGCTGCCATTGGAGTTCCCGATACCCATGAGCCTAACTAACCCGAATTCAGTGATCCTAACATCGAAATCATCATCAAGTAGAATCACATTCGAGCATATGTTTTGGTGCTTGACCGGGGGCTGGCAACCATGATGGAGCCAAGCTAGCCCTCTAGCAGCCCCAACACTAATCTTAACCCGAGCTCGCCAATCCAACACACTATCCTGATTAACTCCTGAGTGCAACCATGAATGTAAATTCCCATTACTCATATCCTTATACACCACCAATTTCTCATCCTCCACACAACAAAACCCCAATAAAGGCACCAAATTCGGGTGCCTAAGCTGCCCTAACCTATGAATCTCCGACCTAAACTGCTTCTCACTCACCTTATTACACCCTCTTAACCTCTTAATCGCCAATGCCGATCCATCACTCAACACCGCCCCATACGAAACCCCGGTTTTCGTGGTATTAACGATCTTTCCATCACTAAAACTACTCGTAGCAATCAACAAATCCGCCACTCGAATCTTCACAATAGGTTTCTGAAAGAACACCACTTGAGCATTCTTATTAGACCTCAATTTCCCAACCCAACCCACAAAATTCCCACCTTTTTCACCATCAAAAACATCTTCTTCCTTCTTTCTATGATCCCAACAACACCACCACCAAATCATAAACCCTAACAAAAGCGAACCAACACCACCAATCACACCACCAAGAATCACAACCCTAAGATTACCATTTGCCCCACATCTTAATCCAACAACATTCCCACAAAGTTCATCATTCCCACTAAACCCATCTTTCCCAAACTTACCCAAATCATCTGGGATCAAACCCTTAAGTCGATTATTATCAAGTGAAAGCTTCTTGAGCCTATCTAACCTACCCAATTCAAAAGGGATAGACCCAGAAAGCTTATTATCACTCAAAATCAAACTATTCAAAAACTTGCAATTTTCGATCTGGGGTGGAATCGAACCTGAGAGCTCGTTTCCAGAAAGATCTAGGGTTACTAAATAAGGCAACCAATCACAGATTTGAGGTGGGATTTCGCCGGAGATTTGATTGCCGGAAAGTACAAGGGTCTGTAAACTCCGGCAAAACTGAAGCGAAGAAGGGATTTTTCCGGCGAGACTCATCGTCGGAAGTTGAAGAGAAAGAAGACGGTCTTCCTTTTCATTCCAGCAAGAAACGCCGGTAAGTCGACAGATTGAATCGACGGAAGTGTTGTCAAAGTGCCAGTTTGAGAGACGGTTTTGTGGGTCTGAAAGCGACGATTTTACGCCTTGTAAGCATTTTACGTCGTCGTCGAAGGAGAGAGAAAGCGTCACAAAAAGAGAAAAGAGGAGAGAGAAAATGAAGGGAAAATAGAAAGCCGACATTTTTCTTTTTTTTTAATAGGAATTTAAGATTTCAGGGAAGCCATGGAAGTAGAGTAGAGTAAAGGAAGCAGCTTTTCTTTGGAAGATGAGGAAGGAAGAACTAAAAAGTGAAAAAATTGGAATGAAATGATGTCGTTTTAGGAGAGAGATTGGAAATTGTTTGTTATTTAGGCTAATGATTGAGTGAAAGGGTCAAAGTGTGTTCAAACTATAGTTTTTTAAAAATTTTAAGTTAACTTTTTCTTTTTTTATTTTTAAATATAGAGTAATTATTGTATGATTTGTGTAAAGATGTGGTTGGGTCTTGGAAATTGGGTAAACCTTTTCAATGGTTTTGGGCTTTTGGAAGGTTAAAAAGCAGCCTGCCTTACTAATCATGTGGTCTTTAAAAGTGGTTGGATTTCTACGAGTACTTCGTGTTTTTTAGGCCCTGTTATTTTATTTTATTTTTAAAGTAGAATAGAGAAGGAATCAGCACATAAGAACAAGTGTAAGCAGAGTAAAACAATTTATTTAATATTAATTTAAAAAAGTATGACAAAATCACGCGTAATTTAGTGTAACTAATAAATTTTTTATTTTTATTTTTAGCTTCTTTATATATATATATATATATATATATATATATATATAGATAGAGGAAGGCTCATATAAGAACCCTCCTCTATATAAGAACCTAATCTTATATAAGAACCAATCTTAGCTGTTTATTAGTTTTGATCTAACTGTCCAAAATGATGCTCTACTAATGGCATTTTTGTAATTTGAAGGAGTTTATTCAAATTCCTTTTCCTCTTCCTTCATCTCGTTATTTTATGTTTCTCAACTCTCAGCTTTCTCTCTGTAAAATTCTCAGCTTTCTCCCTCTCCTCAGTTCAACAGGTTGGCGAAAGTTCATCAAATTCATCACGATATTTTCACAGATTTTGGATTAATTATTGTAAGTTTATTAATTTTATAATCAGATTTGTTTTAAATTTAATGATTTTTCATGCGATTTTGATGCGATTAATTTCATGCGATTATTTTAAGCATTCTCTATGCAATTGTTCTCAATATTGTTTAGCGAATATTTTGCTGCGATTTTGCTACGACTTTTATGCGATTTTGATGCGATTTTTTGCTGCAATTTTGATGTGATTTTTTTGCGTTTTATGCGATTTTTTCTCAAATCTTTCCCTGATTTTTGCGATTCGTATGCTGCGATTTTGATGCGTTTATTTTTCAATTTTTGCTGCGATTTATGTTCGATTTTTACTGATTAATTCATGTTTTCGTCAATATTTTTACGATTTTTTGCAAATTTTCTATTCGATTTTGTTTTTGGCGATTTTCTATTCGATGTATATTTATTTTGCTCGATTATTTATTTGTTCGACTGTTTGATTGTTCGAATTTTTTGTTCTTATTTTGATTTTTTTTGTTCGGTTTTCTTTTGCGATTTTGATGCTGTTTTATTTGCTGCGATTTTTTCTCAAACTTTTCCAGCTCTTTGCGATTTGTGTATGCTGCGATTTTGATGCGTTAATTTCTTAATTTTTGCTGCGATATATGTTCAATTTTTACTGTTTTTGTTTGATTTTTGTGATTTCATTTGAATAATGATGTGTGCCTTTACCAATTGTTTATGTACTTTACCAGTCAAAGATCGTAGCTGCTTCCAAACACCTTCTCTATGTGTAACATGAACATGTTTTATACTCCATTTAAATGAATTGTGGTACTTGTTTGATAAATGAGTTAGAGATGTGTAGCAAGCTTCATGATGCTACTCCTTGCTATATGGTATTACTAGTTAACACTGTTAGTGTTATAGTATGTCTGTTTTGACATATTGAATTGTGAATATTATGGTGCTTGGATCTTAAAATGGAATCGTCCTTTAGACTATTCACTATTTTAATATCGAATATGGAGTAAGCATTAGAAACATTGGCTATGATAAAGAAGTCCTAATTATTGAATGATATTTAAAGTTTTAGGCAAACCATACAAATTTTTGTGAGCATTGCAGGTATTTTTTATGCTCTACAATACTCCTTTATGTAACCCTGTACTTTCTTTTGGCAGTTGACAACAATTATCCAAGAGATGCTTCGTCTGTACCCACCAGGAGTATTAAGATGCCAGGCTAAAAGAGATTCAAGTTCCAAAAGGACTCATTCATTCGGGTAAATTTAGTTATTTTTAATGCTTTAATTTCAGTGTATTCGGTGATTTCAGTGTTTCGCATACATGTTTATACCAATTTTCTTACTATAAAGTTTGGAATTCAATGTATTCGGTGTTTCACATACATGTTGTCTCTTTTATGTGAACCTCTGATTTCTTGATCAATGTTACATATGCTTGAGTTTTATTAATAGATCGTTGCTTAGTTGACTGTTATGGTAATTTAATTGGGAAAGTTGGTATTAATTATTAATAGTTGATACAAGGATGTGAGCAAGGAAACCTTCGACATCTGAGCAAGGGTATGAACTCTTATTGCTCTTAGTTTCTTTTCTTTTTGTGTTAACAGGTTAATTTTTGAAAGTTCATCTTGGTTTTGAACCTTTGCTGGTAAAAAAAAATGTTTTTTGAAAAAAATCCTAGCAAGTTATTGGGTGACGAGTTTGCTCATCATTTTGAGTAGTATGTAAAATATCTGCATTTGTGTTGCACGTCATTTCCTGCTTGCTTCTGCTTCCTTGATGTTCTATCTTGTTTGTTTATTTTCTTATTGTCAGATGTTTTTGTGTGAGAGAATTTCTTTTCTTTTTTTCTCCCCTATAGATAAAAAATGACCTGTTTTGTGCAATGTTTTTTAGTATTAGAACTAAAGAAAAATCATTAGTGGGTAGTAGAATGACACTGGAACAGGAATCTTGTTGCTTCATGCTCTAGCTGCTTAAGCAATTCAGGGAGATAACATTAATGATCCAGGCACTTCATCTGTTGCAGGCTCGCAGCTATCACAAAGAATCCACGGCACCCTCCTGGGTTTACTTATGCGTGGGATGTATTCAACCACCTAAAGGGAAGAGGAAGAACACATCAAGATGCACATGATAAAGTGATAATGAGTTAATGACATATACAAAGCTAAATATTTAGACATGTTATTACTGTCATGAATCTTATGATTGTCTAAATTTTCAATCTAAACCTTGTCAATGTCTTTCACTGGCAGAAATTGAAGTCACATGATGTAAACTTGAACATGACCGGTCTCTTATTGTCCAACAATTGCTGATATTATTTTTAATTTAATTTGATACATTTTTTTTGAAAGATAATTTGATACATTAGGTGAACTCATAATTCATATTTATTTTAATATTTTATATAAATTAGCCTACTAGCTCAACAGGTAGAGCATTGTGCAAATGCACAAAAAATGTGGGTTCGAATCCCACGTAGGTTGATTTGTGTAATGTGGAGACAACTGTATGTTTCAGAGTTTTGTTGTAACATAGTTTCCATAGGCATTTTTTGTTCGTATAACTTAGTCCTATTTAATTTTTTTATATTTTTTATGGTTATTTTTAGAGATAACCTATGTAGGAATCGAACCTACATCTCTATGCATTTGCATAGTGCTCTACCACTTGAGCTAATAGGTTTTAGCATGCCCAACGATTAAATAATGTATTGTAATTCAACCCTATGTTCTAAGCTTTAATTTCAATTTTCTAAAAAATGTTCTAAATATTTTTTTCTACCTATGTTCTAAATAATTTTGCCATCTCCTATATTCTAAATTTAGTCTACTTATGTTCTATTTTTTTGCCTATGTTCTAAATTTAGTCTACTTAGTTCAAAGTTAATTTAGTCTACTTATGTTCTATTTTTCTACCTATGTTCTATTGTTTTTTTCCTATGTTCAAAATATTCTTTTTACTCATGTTCTAAATTCTTTTGCCTATATTCTAAATTCAGTCTACTTATGTTCTAAAGTTTTTTTTTCCCCTATGTTCTAAATGTTTACTACCTATGTTCTAAATATATATATATATATATATATATATATATATATATATATATATATATATATATATATATTTTATGTTTTGAATATTCTTTATCCTATATTCTAAATTTAGTCTACTTATTATGTTCTAAATATTTTCAACCTTTCTAATTTTCTCTTATGTTCTAAATTTTTTCTACCTATGTTCTAAATTCAGTCTACTTATGTTCTAAATTTTTTTTCCCTATGTTCTAAATTTTTACTACCTATGTTCTAAAGTTTTTTTTTATTTTTTATGTTCTAAATATTCTTTTACCTATGTTCTAAATTATTTTTTCCTATGTTCTAAATTTAGCCTACTTATGTTCTAAAGTTTTTTTTTCTCTATGTTTTAGATTTTTTCAGCCTATGTTCTAGTTTTTTCCTATGTTCTAAATTTTTTCTACCTATGTTCTAAAGTTTTTTTTTCCCTATATTCTAAATATTCTTTTTTTTATTTATGTTCTAAATTCTTTTGCCTATGTTCTAAATTCAGTCTACTTATGTTTTAAATTGTTTTTTCTCTATGTTCTAAATTTTTACTACCTATGTCATAAAGTTTTTTATTTTTTATGTTCTAAATATTCTTTTATCTATGTTCTAATTTTTTTTCCTATGTTCTGAATTTAGTATACTTATGTTATAAATTTTTTCAACCTATGTTCTAATTTTTTCCTATGTTCTAAATTTTTTCTACCTATGTTCCACAGTTTTTTTTTCCTATGTTCTAAATATTCTCTTACCTATGTTCTAAATTTTTTTTTCCCTATGTTCTAAATTTAGTCTACTTATGTTCTAAAGTTTTTTTTCCTATGTTCTAAATAAGTTTTTTTTTCCCATGTTCTAAATAAGTTTTTTTTTTTCCCTGTGTTCTAAATTTTTTTTGGTAAATAAGAATTTTATTACCAAAGAAAGGGCAAAACACGCCCACACCAAACTACAACAGCCAAGAGGCCAAACATCCACCAACAGCAATACAACAAAACTAAGCTAGCAACAAGCTAGCAAACAACCAAAACCAAAACAAACAAAGGCAAACAACAAGACAATAAAACACCATAGCAACAAACAGAGCTACACAATAAGCAAAGACAGGATGTAAGAGAGGAACCCAGCATCACCAAGGAACACCAGCCCAGGACCAAAGAACAGCCAAGCACAACAGCAGCCCACAGCAACATCCAAGCTGAAAAACAAGCAGCCAAAACAAAGCTTCACAGAACAGCACAAACAGCCTTGCGACAGAGAGCAGCAAACAAAAGCAA